AGTCTCCAGCTCATATAAACTTCGAGTTTCGCTTAGAAAACCTTTTTTAAGAATCGATATTTATCGATATTATGGAAATGGGTAAAGATAAGATAAGGTAAGACAAATTTCAGACTCTAGCTCTAATAGACAGATCGGATAGATCGACTCGTTTTGATCAGGCAAATAAATAAGGTTTCGCAGTTGCAGCCCTTTGCCAGGTTACAAAAATTTGCATAAAATAAACCCACCCATTATTTGTACACATTTCTAGTTGGTATAGGGTATAAATATGCCACGCAAGCATGTGGCACGAAACATGGCAAGCCACAACCAGGCAACGTCCAAAGCGCAGAGGCCTTTCCGGTTCATGTTACGGCGGCGTCTGTTGCATGTTTAAGCTGAAAATTGATATTAAATGCTTTGGCATAAAAAACATCAAATGATTTCGTTACAATTTTAGCCCTCCTCCCTCCTCCCCCTACTTCCTACCCCTTCTATTGCTCGCAACACGCTCGCTTTAATAATGAAGGTATTTTGGCCTGGTCCCGAACCCAGACGCCGTCTGCTGATATATGCCGTGCCATTAGTTGGGCCTGCTGATTGTGCAAGAAATCCAACACTTGGCAACACATTTACCAACACTTGCGCTTACCTCTGCCTGGCTACAGCCTGGTTCGGTCTCTTCAACTGACCTGGCCGATTGGTCAGACGCTGCAAATTAATTTGGGATTTTGCGTCTATTTGTTTGCCTAACACACTCATGCGTGTCTATCTCCCTCTCCCTCTCTCTCTCTCTCTCTCTCACTCGCTCTCCCTTTCACATTCAGTTTGTGTCCATTTTGCTGGGCTCGCATTCATCACAATCACACGGCCCTGACTCGTGCCGCTTGCATATAAAATTTATGTGTCCTGGCGGGCCGCATGCATCCGTGAGCAGCGTCTGGACAGAAACGGGCCACGTGGACATTTCAAATGCTGCCAAAGCTCAACTGACATTTGATATATTGGGCCAGAACGGGATACAGGACAGGACATAGTTCCACTCACTGCCACAGTTTGCCACAGTTTCAGTTGACATTTTGGTCCTTTTCGACAGCTTTCCAGCATGCGAACACGTTTTGTACCTCTCGTCCCACTCTCTTGCTTTGCATGTGTAATTGCTGTGCTGAGAGCATTGTAAGTGGGCTTGTAAAAATTGTGTTGCCTGCTGCTGTTTAATTGATGACAAGCACTCGCCAGTTTGCAGCAATTGCGGTTTACTGAACCCGCATTAAAATTAAAGCAAACACTTTGCATTTAATTTAATGGAAAATATTTAGCGATTCATTATACCAAATGCCTCTTAATGGTCTTTTTACGCACAGTAAGGCGTGAGCGTAAAATAAATATAAATTTCTACGAACTACATATATATAATTGAGGCCTCTCTATGCGATTTTCATGTTGTCAGTGGTGAGCGAGTATTAAAGTTGAATTTAAGCTGTTGAATGAAAGCTGTTATTCTCTCTCTCAAATACACCCTGTCTCTCCGTATCTCATTAAATATAAGTTCTACAAGTTTAATAGATATTTAAAGCCTCTCTCTGTGATTTTCAGGATGTTAAGTAGGGTATACAGGTTCTTGTTTTGAGTATATGTTCAAATGTAATTTAAAAAAAAAAAATGACTTTCAAAACGGCCGTTTTGCCTTAAAACGTTAATTGCCTTTCTTTGCGATTCTCACAAATACAAGTACCAACTGCAGCACTTTTATTGTTTCTTATTTGAGTGCAGCTAAAGCCTTTGCTCTGGCAAACCATGTGACCGTTAGTCAGTTCGTATTTCACGTCTGTCGCACTGTTTGTCTGGCTGTCGTTTGGCACATGCTAAAACGTGTTGCCAAAAATGAAGAGATAAATGCAACGCGGAGGCACAAAGCGACGCCAACTCGAAACGTGCCAAAAATTAACAAAACGCTGGCCAAAATGCCGGACAAACAGCCTGCCGCACAGATGCGAATACAAAGATACAGATACACTGCGAGTCAAAGACAGCTAGTTGGGCCAGGGGGGGGGGGGGGGGTGGACGGTGCGGGGCGGGGCAGGTCGGAGGTTTATCTGGATGTTAACTAACCCGGACAAGTGTCAAAGCATTTAGCATGCGCTGAATTTTAATTTCACACTTTGCACTGCAATCAAAAGGAATTAGGCGTCAACAAAGCGACACGCCCCATTTTAAGTTTGGTCGAGCGAAGGAGTGGAAAGGGGGGGGGGCGAGGGGGAACGGCTGTGGTGTCAACTTTGTGCCTTTTGCATGCCGCGTGGCCCGCCCGCAAAGGAGCTGCTGTTGACTGTAATTAGCACACTCTGATTTGTATTTGGCTAACAATAAAATGACAGCTTTTGGCCAAATGGCACGCAACGGCCAACGGGCCCAGCGACTGACCTGCCACGTCCGGAATGGATCCGGAATGGGTCCGGAAATGCCAGCGCAGTTGGCGTGCGCTCATTTCGATTGCATGTCGCTGCCAGTTGCCAGTTGCCAGCAGCCCGGCTCGCGGCCAAAACGGCATACAACGCGCAATAAATTCCAATAAACGAGTGCAGCCTTGGCCAGCCACGCCCTACGCCCATTGCCGCACTAGATGGCAGCCGTTGGCCTCAACAGGTTTTTTCGTTCATGCTGCAGTCGACCAGAAATATGATAGCCGCTAATTAACGCCCTCCCCCCCCGACTAGTGGCAGGCGGAACGGAAGCGAGCGCAGAACTGGGGCACAGGGGGCGTGTTCAGGGAGGGGGGCGGGAACATTCGCGGTTCATTAGGAAGGCTACGATTGTGTGTGCCGCATTTTAAGGCGAGCTGTGCCGCATTATTATACGCGTGAACCCCTTGAATATGGTCAAAAAAGGGTATAATTACACTGTGCACGTGTATGTAACAGGCTGAGGATGGCATCTGTGACTCCATAAAGTATATATATGGTGGCCAGGTCCATTTGTCTGTATGTCGAGACTCAGGAACGTGTCCAGTTTGGAGCTAACAAGAACTAGAAACATCAAAAATCTAGAATATTTCACTGCGTGGTATTCCCAGCCTGAGATTTGGTACAAACTTTTGTCTGGCCAATGCCAATGCTTGATGCGTTACAGGGTATCTCCGAGTCGGGCATTAGTGTCAAATTGTGTTTTTTGTTGGTAAGCTCGAATTTTATTTCATTTGCTTTCACTGCACAGCTGAGGGCAACGGGCAGATGCAGCAAAAAGAATAAATGAGCGCGACCAGGACTAATGGAAAGGAGTTTTTAATAAAGGCAACTTGTTACAGACTAGCGAAAAAATTAAAAAGAATTAAAAAAAAGGAAGGTCTCATGAATAAAAACAGCGCGTGCACGTGTATATATGTGCGTGCATAAGTATGTGTGTGCGTATGAGAACCGAACCGGCAAGTGCAATAGTAATTGGCAACTCTACAGCACACGTTGCGTATACGTCATGTGCCGTATAAGAGTGAGCCGTGCGCGTATAAGAGCGCGCTTCGTGACGTAGCCAGCCGCGAATGTGCTAGGCGCGAGCAGAGGGAGGCTGTGTTTTCACTTTCAAAGGTAAACACCACACACACACACACACATATACACTCACACACACACGCATAGGCAGCGCGTGTAGATTTTTTAGGGCGAAGCGAACAAAAGAAGAAAGTGTAACAAACACGCAAACACAGGGCGAAGGCAAACGAAGCAAAACGCCAAAGTAAAAGGCAAAGAGCACTTTTTGGTGGGCATGGCGCGCGAAAAGGGCGTGGAGTTGGCTCAAATGTTGCCAGAACATGCAACATGGTATCTACAAATCTGAAAAGTCAGCGACAGATAAAACACGCTCGAAAAATGAAACTGAACGCAATTAGGAAAAGGAAAACATCAAAAAAAAAGGACAAACATTTGACAAAAATGTCAAGTAAACAACTGTTTGGGGCTTGGCTGTGATTTCATATTTTGTGCGGTATTTTATTAATATATATAATTTTAATTAAGTATGAACGTCAGTTTGTTTATTTTGCGAGCTTTAATTTAATCAGCTGCTAACTGGCCACAATCTGATAACAGCGCTAAAGCAGTCGTCTAATAGCAGCTTTTACTGTTAACAGTGCAAATAGATCAAGTCTAGCCGCTACATGTTATTAACAGCCAGATGCTAAAAGTTCACTTACAGCCAATGCATTCTGCTAGAACTGCACTCGCTCTTTAAACTTAACAGCTCTGGAAAGCGAGCAGAAGCTTCTTTGGTATTTAAAGTATTTGATGGGGGTATTTAAATGATCGCGTTAACTGGTCACACTAGTGATAATACAAGTGGTGAATAAAAACAATGTGCAAGTGAAAAACCATTGAAAACATTTAAAAGCAACTTGAATTTAATTAATTTGTGCAACAATTACATTGGGAATTCAGAAACCATGCAAGCAGAGTTGGCCAATGGAAAATGTGTAAGCCTCTGGCCAGGTTGGACGCGCAAATTGCTGCTCGTTGGGTCCTTGCAATCTGCGGCTTTTGTCAGTTGCCGCGGGCCCGCGGCACCAAAGTGCATTGTGGCACAATTTGTATTGCTTGCTCTACCGCCCGCAGCCAATCCGCCCGCACCCCCGCCACCTCCTCGCAGCACACCATGTGCAAATCATAATGCAGAATGCGGCTGCGCTACATTAAATTTCAATTTCATGTTCATTTATCGCGACTTGAAGGAGCACGGTCTCTGAGTGCGATGGTACGGTTGGCGAGGGGGCGGAGGCGTGGCTAGAGGGGCCGTTGCTGCGTTTCGTGCTGGGCACGGAAGTCACAATGTCAGTAGCTGAACTTAGCCAAGGCCGCAGCTAGGCGAAAAACTTTTGGGCCAAGTGCGCCAAACTTGTGCGTAAGGTGAGGGAGAGGTGGGGAGCGGGGGTAGCTTGGTAAGGGGTGGGCAGGGTAGTTGCCTGCCTGCTAGCGAGCGATAGCAAATGCCGCGTTTACGCAAGTGTTTGCCAAGTAAATATGTAAAACCAACAAGCGCGCACACACACACACACACACACACACATACATATGCATGTTGCATAAAAATTAAGCAAACTGCACTTGTAGCAGCAACAAAAACATCAACAATAACAACAAAAGCAGCAAGTCGCAAAAACTTGCTGCCCAGATCGAAAAATGCAACAGTCGACAGCAACTTCCGCTGTGCGTCACGCCGGCTGCACAGCCCACTTCGCCAACACCAACGTGCCCCAACGCCCTTCGAGCAGCAGAAGCAGCAGCAGGAACAGCAGCAGAAGCTGCCTGACTGGCAACAGCTACAGTGGTCGCTCGATAAAATCAACATTTCCGTTTCAAAGAGGTTTGTTGAATTGCTAAAAGTTCTGTTTGTATTAGATTTATTATTTTAGTGTAAACATTTATGATTGCGTGCTGGAAAGCTGTCCAGATTGGCTGACTGATAGATCGTCTGACGGATTTGTGATTAACGTACAGCCCAAACCGAAGCTTAAATTTTTAAAAAGTTATATATTTTATTTATATTAGTTATTGTAAGCCGAACCTAGAAATGTTAACAGAAAATTATTAACAGATTTCAATTTCAGGCAAAGGCCAATCGACGAGAGATCACTGTACCAAGCAAGAAAAAAAGAAAGGAAGAAACAATTGATGCTGCAAAGTTTGCAGCAAGTTTTAGTTTTTTCTCCCTGCTGGTTGTTTGTTGGTGCTGCTTAGCCGAAGGGATTGGAGCATGTGCAAGTTGGGCAGCTGAAACTTTAAGCCCCAAACGTTGTCGCTGCTGCGTACGTGTTGGTGTTCATTACGTACGTGTCCTTTTTGCCATTTTACTCAAGTTGTCAGCGTGCCACGAGCAGCAACCGAAGCAGAAGGAGCGCTGCACATGGACACACGGACTTAAAAAACACGCACGTGCCAACTGAAAGGAGGATGATAAGATTTGACGCATTCTGGTATTTGATTAGACTCTAAGCAGGTAACGACATGTTATACGAAACATTCTCTATTTAGTTCATATTAGTACTATTATAGCTATAGCTACAAACTCTTGAGATGTCTTGTAAATAACATACACTGGAGAATTTATTAGAATTTGCTTCTTGATTAAAACTAAAGCAGGTAAGTTTTTAAACTAACTACTCTACTATGTAAATACTATTGCAATTGCTTGCATATATCAGAGCAATATTCATTTGCATTTACTATAAATATGACAAATGACTCTTAAGTGTTAGCAGCGGCACCTAGTGTTGCCAAACGTACCCAAAAATTACAAATTATGCAAGTGAATACAAAATCATATTATTTTAGTACCTTAAACAAACTTCAAAATGCTATAAATTAAGAGTTGTTAAAAGCAACTATTTCTACCGCATAGAATTTGCTTACTTTTGCTTTAACAACACTAACAGCTTACACACATTCGGGCAGCTTACAATACTATACAAAAATAGTTGAGAACTTTTACCAAAAATGCCAAGGCTATAAATTGTTAATTATTTTGTTCAAGTCTGTTGGTTAGGTTACCAGAATTTCCTAGAATTGGACTCCTTCCCAGTAACAGTCTATTCGCTTTCCCTGGAATTGGGCTCTTTCCACTATCAGTCTATTCGCATACCTTGGTTTTAGACTCTTTCCCAGTACAAGTTTATTTGCGTAACATGGAATTGAGCTCTGTCCAGTAGCAGCCCATTCGCATTCCCTGGAATTGGGCACTTTCCAGGGTATTCGGATTTTAATAGCCTGACTACCTGTTAATATTCTTCTTAATTAACGCATATTTTGTCGCTGCAATTAGTGCGGCTGCTATGTTTGATTGCTATCTTTTGCTTGCATTTAAGTGGCAGGCTGAAGTCCTGCGTCCTGCGTGCTGCTTGCTGCTTGCTGCCAGGCAACTGCCAGCTTGGCTGCCTTTCAGCGTCGCCCTGCACCAGCGCGATGTGGCGCAAGTTTCAAAGGCATTGAAAGTGCACTTGACCGCAATTTGCAAAGACTTCAGCCGGGCCCAACTTGTCTGTCGGGTGGTGCTTTGTGTGCAGCTTCTGTGGTGCTGGGTACAAAAGTGACAAGTGCTTGGCTACCTATGCGGTGTCAACAACTTCAAAATGAGTTTGTTGCCACACTCAAAACACACACACAAGCACACAGTGTGGTTGTAAATTTACTTTTTATGTTTTGCGCGTTTTACGAGCTGTTTTTTTTACCTGCAGCGCTTTAATAAACGCGTTTCAGCGCTTGTCCTTGTTGTTGTTGTTAGTGTTGCCATTATGGCTGCTTGGGGGCACATTCAGCGAGCGCTGCTGCAACTGCAGTTAACACACACACACAACATACACACACACACACACACACCCACCCACTCAAAAACTATAGCATACTTTTGTGCGGCGCCCGCAGCTGATGTCTTATTTTCTTTATCGGAGCTGCGGCTATCAATATAATCAAAGCTTTGGCTTTGTGTCTCTAGAACTAACTGCCTTTTGGCCTGGTCGATTGGCGCGTGGAACGTTGCTTTTAATTGCCTGCTCTAAGTCGTTTTAGTCCTTGGAACTAATACAGCGCCATAAGCTCTTAATCATTTCAAGCAATTTGCGCACGTTCGCTGCAATTCAATTACAACTTTGCTTAACACACACACACATACACACGCGGCATGCCACTATGTACTTACAGTCCTGGCAGCCAGCGAGTGTTATTTGCACACACACACACACACATGTTCAAACCCAGTGAAGTAGCTTTAAGTATGTCTGCTGAAAGTATCTTATAGATACGTAGCCGTCCAAGTTTTTGGCAGGCAAGTTTTTGCCAGCTCCCTTCACAGCGTTTATAATCAGCCATTTAACTACTTTTAATACCCTTCGAATTGCTGGCAAAGTTTTTAAGACGATTCGCGCAGGCCTCAAAATGTTGCCCAAGCAAACAGCGTGCCGCCACTCATGTGGCATATTAACCACTTTCCATGCGGCCTGTGTGAGTGGCCACTCGAAGCGCAAACGATATTTATTCGATTTATGGCAAATTTTTCGCAGGGGGGCTAAGATATTTTTTAATAAAACGCATTCTGTTGACATTATATGAGGGGGAGAGAGAGAGAGCGAAGTTTATTAATAATGTGTAGTGGCTAATAAAGGCACACGCATATTTACACATGCAACAAACACACACACACACACACACACACACACACACACACACACACACACACACACACACACACACACACACACACACACACACACACACACACACACACACACACACACACACACAAACACACACACACACACACACACAAATGTACACACATATGCTGTTGCATATTTGAAGCATTGGGTTTTGTGGCTTTTATGTCCTGCGGCTGTGGCTTTTGACGAGGCTTATTGGATTCCCCGAAATCTACATGAGCTACTATTGTCAGGTACTACGCACAGTTATTGATTGATTTTTCAAACAGCTTTTTTTCGTTAGCCATATGAATTATGCATATGCCAAAAAGCTGCGAGAGTTATTTTAAAAATGTTACGAATTTAATGGTTTTTATTATAGTTTCCGGCAGAAGGGGGCAATATGGTTGAAGAAAAGAAAAGAAAGAAAATGAATAAATATATGCGAGCATATATTATCAAGAATTAATAAATTTATTATAGGCAAGTTTTTTTAATATTTGCCTAGATATTTACCTCATCTGTACATATTACAACACATACGCAAGAAACAAAAGTCAAAACAGGGCTCAGCTAAAGATGTTTGTTTAATTAAGATTCACGTTTTATTTATTTATGTAGTCATAAATGAAATAATCAGATAGAACTTTTTTTTAAAATTATTAGCCAATGTTTAAGAATTTTATGTTTATGTACAACTAACGTTTAACAGCGCATTGGGCAGAGGCAACAATTACTTTCGATAGTGTATTTAGTTGTTGCGCATGTTGCTGTTATCTCCTTTTTTTCGTGTATATATGTCCAGAGTTATTGATTATGAGCACATCCTTGAGATGGCAGGAAATGAAAAGTGTTGGCAAATATTTATGCAGGACGCAAGATTGTCGAGCGGCATGCTTGATTGTGATACATGAATGCTCTTTCTCTGTTTCTCGTTATTTAATACTCTTTTTTTTTATTTAATACTTATTCCATGTTTACCATGGGACGTGCGAGAATCTGTATCTTCCACCGTTTTAAAGCTTAAGTTTGTGGACACTTTCCGTCTCGACAGCTCAAAGTGTGAAAAATCTATTTATTCTAATCTTTGAGAGCCAGACTGAACATATTGGGCATGAACAAAAGATGAGCTCTTCCAAAGATTAATCTGAAAAAAAATTAATAATTTGCCTGGCAGCCTGTTGTAAACTATTAATGGATTGTGGAAGAGTATGCTTCAATTGTAAACTGCAAAAGGTTAGGCTTTGTTTGTCGGCTGCAACTGCTGGCACCTGATAAGTTCCGCTTTTTGTAGTGGCATTTGTTGCAAGCAGAAGCATTGACAATGTTAGCAATAGCAAAACAAGCAAAAGAATAACTCGAATAGAGTATGAATACGAGTGTGAGTGCGAGTGCGAGTGCGAGTACTCGAATCCTACTGGCAGCCTGTGTAATGCGAGCATTGCATGATGTATCGATTTTTTAGCTGTTGTTGTTGCTGTCGTTGTTTTAGGGCGCTTGGTGCCTGCTGCCTGCTCCCTGCTGCTGGTTGTTTGTCATTGGAAGCAACAGCAATTTCTGGGCCATTTGTCGGCTTTTGCCTGTTCCGGTGTTGATAATGCCAATGCGTAATCCATCTCCATGACACACACGCAGCGCTGTTGCCACACAGTTGCCCCTTTCGCAGCGTATACGAATCGGACTCCGAATCCGAAACGTAGAACCATACACAGTTGACATGTGCACTTGAACTTTGGCCTTTGAATGCGCTGGCATTTGCCAACGTGCGTGCGGTTGACGGGGCATGAAAAGTTTGTCAATTTTGAGTTGAGTGCAAACATTCAAACTGCCCAAACAACACGGCGGCTGTTGCGGTGTGTATGTGCGCGGGTGTGTGTGTATCCAAAATTTAAATAAAACACACTCGAGCTTGATAAAACACAATTTTAATAACTTTGACATCAAGTACACATCGAGAAATTGCAATGACACGCAGACAATTACAAATATACACACATAAACACATACATATGCAAGGCTTACCTGCTAGTACTTACTAGCTAAACATATGAGTAGTTCGAGTATATATATATAGCATATGATTTAATATGTATACAGTTATATTTAATATGCACATCGAAGCGTATTCGTATTAGTTGCTGCAACTGCAACAGCTGCAGCCAACTGCTAATATCAATTGTTGTTGCACAGTTAGTTACCAAGCTGCAAGTTCATTTGCAATACATAGTATATATACACATATATATATATATATAGATAGGTGTGTGTGTGTGTGCTTGTGTGTAAATGTTGTCCGTTTCAGCACTTTGCGGTTTTTTTGCTTTTTGTATTTTTGGCTGCATGCCACTCCAGTTGCCAGTTGGCTTACGCAGTTCGGGGAATATTTAGCAAAAGTTTGACTTTTAGTTATTTGCCAGCTCAACAGTGTGTGAGTGCTACTCACACATACTCATCATCGTGTGCATAAATGGGTGCATGAACGCATATGCTAGTTAGTCGAATAACAAACATTCTCACATTGTTTGATTATACAATTACAGCAGACAAAATATCTACATATATATATATTGTTTTTAATTTTCCATTTTCTGGTTTCTTGAATTTTATGCTCAGGAATTTGTACACTCAGATATTAAAATTGTGTGTGTAAGTGTGTGTAAATTCGTTACAAATTCTGTTGCGACGTGCCTAATTTAAATGTTACCTTTATTATACCCTTGCAGAAGGTCTTCTATTTTCGTGAGGCATCGTGTAATTCATTGAAACTACATTCGCGCCCTTCATTAATATAGTTTTGAGTATTAAATTTGGATTAATCTATTTCAAGTATAGACATTAAACTGTTCATAAATCCTTTGTAGTCGAGCGGACCAGAGAACTATATCATATAGCTGCTATGTCGTATAACTCCTCCGAAAAAATTCATTTGAATATTGTGTTTTTTTTTTATGAACCTTTCTGCAAAAGTATTTAATCGTCGGCAAGCCGATTTTATATGTTTTCTTTTTGTTTTCATTTTGTAAGCTTATTAATTGAGCGCGAACAAAAGTTATTCTGGGCTTATGCTAAAGGCGCGCAACACGTGGAACTAACACAGAAGTTGAAAGCGTACAAAGTTTTGGACCCAGCCTTTTCATTAACGGAAGATATGGGCAGGTTGTTGTAGACTCTGCTCTACACACGCATACTAAACAAATATTGCCAATCTTCCAAATATCTATATATCAATATATTTTAAGTTTTACATAATTCTTTAAGACACAGGGAAGACTTTAAAAACATTATAGATTACACATACATATACATATATATATATATATCAACTACAATACGTATACGAATACAATCAATTCTGTGTGTGTATTTGTGTGTGAGAGTTCTTACAGCTAACACCTCTAAATAACATATAAAAATTGTTCTGTTTTTGTTTTTTAATTTATTTGCTTTGTTGGTTTCTTGGTTTTGCGGTTGCTATTTTGGGGCACGTGTGTGTTACTCGTTAAGGTAGGTTAGGAATTACTTATAGAGTACATGTACTTAGGATTGTCGCTGCTAAAACATCGTTAAACGCGCTACAACTACAACTACAAATATGCCTAACTAATCTATAATCTAATGCAATCCCAATGTCAATTCCATATTCCACATGACCATTTCCATATACATTTCTCTTATCGTTTGTATTTACATACCACTTAATCGGTTGGTGTTTGAGTTGAAATCTGTTGAGTCTATATTTGCGTGGGGCCTTAATGCCTGTGCCGTAGCTTAGTAACTTTCGCTTTCACCTTTTGTTAGGAGTTACAGATACTGGTCCTCGTTGGTTTTCAGTTGAAATCAAATTTTCGCACTGCGCGCACGTGCCGCATTCTTTCGGCCGAAAAGAATGCGCTTAAAGGCGCGTCGGAACTCTGGATTGAAGATGGTATAGATGACCTGTTGTTCATAATGATAAGATTCCGGGAAGAGGAAAGATTGTAAATAGAAATTTAGCCTCTGCACAGTCGTAGCTTAATTATGTGGAAATCCAATTGGATGACCTGAACATAGTCAATCGTCCAATTGGAATTCGCTATTTAGCAGTTTCTGTATGATGTATTCGATAAAGTTAGAGTTAAATAGATTGTCGATCTTACGATGAGAGTTAACTTCAATATATTTGTTCAGTTTTGGGTCTATGCTTATTGTAAATAGCAGGCTGTATTTGATCAATGATTGAATCTAATCAATCTAATGTTGAACGCACCATTATCAGCCTTTGAATTCTAAGCTTATGCAGCTGAAAAATGGCCACAAATATGAAATAGTTTTTACGCGATGTTCGATTGACACATTCAGCTATTCAATCTGCCAATTGGAATAGCGTAAAGAAAATATGCTATTCGTCCATTTAGCTTGATTTTTTGTTTCGTCTGGATTGCTGATTTAAAAGAGCTGAACAATTGCCAGAAATAATGATAAGTTTTAGCTGGCTTCATGGGTGCATTTGCATCCATAGCAGATCAATCATCCAATGAGAATTATTCAAACTAGACTCATTTGTTACACTCAGACAAAGAACTGTTCCCCTTTATCATTGACGTATTGCCATGGACAGTTGGACAAATCTGTTGGTCTTTTCGATTGCAACCCATTTACGTACCGGATTGAGCGTGGAGTTGAAGTAGCCCAGCCAGAGGATGAGGGATGCAGCTGCTGGATGAATTTCGCAGTCCTTGCACAGGCTCATTGTAAGCGCCATAACAAAGAAGGGCAGCCAACAAATGACAAAGGCGCCGGTGATGATGGCCAATGTTTGCGCTGCCTTCCGTTCCCGCTTCGCCTCCAACAGCTGGCGTCGCTTGGCCAGCTTCTGGTGTGGATTGGCAATGCTCGCCAGCACACCCTTGCCAACACCAGCTCCAATGGGACTGGTGCCGCCTCCTGCTGCTGCTGCCGCTGCCGTCTGCTTGCCGGCTGCAATACCACCCATGGCGATGGACTGCGCCAGTGGCGTAATGGCATTCAGATGCGAAGCTATTAGATGCTGCTGTGTGGTGCTGGACACCTGCTGGGAGAGCGTTATGATTTCGTTAGCGTTGCTCGTGCGGTACTGGAAAGAAAGAAAGAGAACGAGCAAAGAATTGGAAGACAAAGAGATGGAAAGAAAAGGTGCGCACACAAAACAAATAAAAACAATTAGCGTCATATTGTGAACGGTTGAGCTGCTGACCAGTCGCCCAGCTGTCCAGCTGCCCAGTTCCAGCACTGCAGCTACTTACGTCATCCGCATCGCTGGATATGGTCGTAAGCTCGGTGCCCGCGTGGCTCTTGTTGTCGTAGTTGCTGGTGCTGAACTCCGTCTCCTCGCGCGTTATCGCCAAACTGGCAAAGTCCACGGCGATTGCGGCCATCGAGCGGGCCACAGCGCCCTCGGAGCCAGCCCTAATGTTGGCCGTATTCGAGTTGCGTCCAAAGCAAATCTTCATGCGTTTACGTGGGTGTCGCTGCAGCTGCCCGATGCCATTTTCCGTGTCTTGCAGTTCGCGTTCCTGTTCACGCTTAGCCACGCGCCGTTTGCCGCGCTCCTTGTGCACGTCACGCGCCGTGGAATCGCACTGGAAAATTTAATTATATTTTCCTGTTACAGTTGAAAATTCATGCGCCCCCTTACTTTTATGCCATTTGCCCATTCCATTTGCCCATTGAGCTATTTACGTGTTTGATTTAGAACCTGTCTAAGCATTTCTAGTTGCTCCCCTAGGGCACATTTTGCTTTTAGCTATACATTTGCACGGTACAAATAGTGTTCTTTCAGCGAAATGCCACGCCCACACACACAGACTCACGGAACGTGGCATAAATCCTAGACTGCGAACTTTTTGGCTGCTTCAAGTGCTTACTTGGGCCTGCCCTAATGGCTAGCAAAGGATTCGCCATTATCATTTCAGTTAATGACACGCTCATTATGGCTACAAGCCGACAAGCTCAAATTTCATTAGACGGCGCTCGCTGCGTATGCGTTATATTATTTAACATTTGTCAAGCCGGAACTAGCAGAAATTTATCACATTAATTGTGACCAGAACCCATTTCCTGTCCCATTTCCCTTTTGGATAGCTCACCTCGGTTTCAGTTAGCGTCACATTGAAGGACTTTTGTGTGCGACGCTGAATGCGCTTCCTTGCAATCAAATAGATTTTCCAGTACAAAAACAAAATGACCAGCAACGGCACATAAAACGTGCAACATGTGGCAAATATCTGCAGTAGACAAGGATTAAATAGCGAAAACGCCACGACATGACTAATGCGGACGGCTACCTGATAGGCCACATCCTGCGAGACCATGCAATGCTGCTCCTCGATGCGCTTCATATAATCTGGATCCTTCCAGCCAAACTGCGGCGCCAGCGACACTATCAAAGCGGCAAACCACACGCAGAATATCATAATGAAGACACGACGGGGCGTACGCAAATTGTTGTAATCAATGTTCGTAACGGTCCAATATCTGAGCAACAGCAAGATGGGAAAGTGAGTGGTAAATTAGCGGGTAACGAAAGCGAGTAACGAGCAAAAACTGTGATTAAGCGGGTGACGAGTAACGAGTAGCAATCAAAGATTATCGAGTAACGAGTAGCGAGTATCGAATAAAAAGTGGAATAAAACGGATAATGAGTAACGAAAGGGAAATTCATGGGTAGCGATAAAGTGGCGAGTAAAGAATCACGAAAAATAACTAAACAAGTTCATAAAAGTGATAAAGTAAAGTAAACGACTAACGCGACGAGAGTGTCGAGAAACGAGCAATGAGTAACGAGAAATAAGTTGCGAGTAACGAGTAAAATAAAAACGAGTAAAAATAAAATGTGATAATTAAGCGAGTAACGATTTATGAGTAACAAGTAATGCGAGTAACAAGCAAAGAGTTTGATAAAGTAGCGAGTAACGAGTAACGAATTGCTGACCACGCTCGCTATACAACTCACCTGTCCGCTGCTATGGCCACCAGGTGCAGTATGGATGCCGTGCAGCAGAGCACATCGCACGATGTCCAAATGTCGCAGAGTTCCGGCCCCAAAATCCAGCCATTGCTTATCTGTGTTGTTTGGGTTAGACGAGTGCAAGGACATGAAATTTCAGTGTTTGCCGGCGGGAGTAAATGCAATTAAATTATGTCATTGCCTCACTGCTTGCCAAGATGACGCAATTTGACAATTAACAACGCGCAATGGCTCATTACGCATAAGCACGCACACACACACACACACAAACATACACAAGGGCACACACACACACACACACACAGGGTCTTTCTCCCTCACACACTCTCTGCAGGGCAAAGTCAACTCTTTGCTCGTAATTTCATTTGCACGCTTTTCATCCGAAGTTTCCATTAGGGTAATGAAGTTTGTGCTGTAGCAGTTGCAACAACTGCTGGCGACAACAAAGCAGTTGCACAAGACTAACAACAATCTACAACAACAATCTACAAAAACAACAACAACAACAACAACAGCAACGACTTACCTCGTAGACGGCGCCAAGCGGCATGACGAGACAGGCAACAAATAAATCAGCAACTGCCAGAGATGCGACCAAATAATTAGCTACATTTTGCAAGTTGCGCTCCAGTATAATGGCAGCAATCACAAATACATTGCCTGATGCACAAGAAAGTGAAAAAATATATAAAATAGCATTATATAATATAATAATATAACATAATCATAAAATTAATTTCATATGGTTCCGATAATATGGGAAAATCAGCTACAAATTGCTCTTCATGTGACTGGGAACATTTCTTTGACTCAAGTGTCATTCAATGAATTTCTTCTTAATCCAGCCAAGCTGCCTGTTATATTTAGCCAAGAACTGTTGCATAGCTACGGAAATTAGTTAGCTCGTTGGTATTTAATTTTGAGCAGGGCTCAACTAAATGCAGTTGCAGCTGTTATCGAATCAGATTCATTTAAATAAATCAAATGTTGAGACTCTCTTAGGAACAAATAATTGACTTTTGGGACATACATGAGAAGTTCAATTAACTTGCAACTTTGATTGCAGCTGCAGTTGTTTGAACAACATTCTTAAAGTGTCATCAAAAGTAGTCACTGGCATTGGCCGAACTGTTTAACTATGCTGAAATCAATCAGCGGCACACTCTCTGCTGCCAAAGAGCTGTCCAGAGTCGCCTCGCCTCTAATTGCAGGCAATCGTGCATGCGATAGCTCATGAATGCCCCAACCTGGTGCAGATGCAGAAACGAGAAACGAGAGGGGGCGGGGAAGAGGTGCTGGCAGTGTGCTGCCAATCTCTGTGTGATGCAAATGATGCAGCTTGGCAAATTGTAATTGCCACGGCGGCATCTAAAAGTGTGTTGCCCCAGTCCTCCGAGCTGCCAGCCGATTGTCTGTCTGGGCTTTCTAGTTGTCTGCTGTCTGATGTCTGCTTGTCGGCAGTTTATCAAAACGTTTTGTCGTCGCTTGGCTCGTGCCAGAAATGCATTTGCATATGCTGTTACCCTTGCCAGTCAGGATGTTGCGCATACGCCGCGTGTGCCACACATGTGCCTACGTTTGCGTGTGCGTATGTGTTGGCTTTTGCACTTGTGTGTGTTTGCGCAATTTCCATTTGACGCCTTGGCGCGCTTTTAATAGCTTTTCACGTGTCAATGCCAACAGAAAAAGAAATTTCAAAACAAAAAAAAAACAAATGTGTACATAAAAAAAATATATAAAAAAAGAAGGCAAACATTTTGTAACATTGTTTGTCCTTGCTGGCAAGGACTCCCAGGCGATTCTTTCGCTTCACGCGCAACTCTGGCCTGGCCTAAGTGCGACGTTTAACGCAAAGCTTTTTAACGCGCTCTAAGCAAAAGTTGCCACGCTCGCTGCCTAGTTGCCCCCACCCAAGCCCAGCCCCAGCACCAGCCCCAGTCCCAACTTCAGGCAGCTGGCAGCAGGCAGCAAATCATCTTCGTAAGCCGAAAATCAATAAAATTTTCAAGCAGCGCAATAAAAATCTTCTGCATCATAAATTTCACTTCATTTACAGTTCACATCGGCGGCGATATGGAAACTTTTGCACCAAATTCCCCGGGCGGCATAAATTGTGAGAATAATTTAACGGCCAGCCAAATCTGGCAGCATGCCCGCCCACCCAAATGGCAGCAGCTGCTTTAAGACTTAAATGTAATTTTGATAGAGTTTTCAGTTACTTGCCTATAATGGTGACGAGTATCATTAGGCCCAGCACAACGGTCATGGCAATCATTTTGACCAGCAGCCAGAACTCGGCTGCGGCACGCTCATTGGCGGCACGTTGCGCCTCCTCCAGTTGGGTTATGTTGCCGCCTGCATTGCTGCTGTTGCTGCCGCTGCTGCTGTTGTTGCTGCTGCTGCTGCTGATGTTGCTGCCGTTGCTGGTGATGTTGCTGCTGCTGATATTGCTGCTGATATTGCTGCTGTTGATGATGTTCCAGTTGTTTTGGTTAATGTTGCTGCCATCCAGCTGGGTCAGGCTGCCATTCAGCTCAATGAAGAGGCTCTCATTGAACAATATTGCTGGCAGTTCTATTTCCAGAATGCTTGGAACATCACCAATTGCCCCAAACTCGAGCATTGTGGCTGGCGTTGTCATTGTGCTCAGCATAATGTACACGAGTTGCTACTGTTGCTGTTGTTGTTATTTTTCTTGTTGCTGCTTGTTACTAAACGCCCACTTTTGCCAGTGGGCGTGTCAATGTATGTGCGAGTGCTTAAAACAGTTGCTGCTGCTGCTGCTGCTGTTGTTGCTGCTGCTGCTGCTGCTTCTGTTGTTGATGTTGTTGCTGCGACAAGGCTCGCCGTAAGCGCCTTTGTTGCTGCTGCTGCTGATGTTGCTGGTGTCGCAGCTGTTGCTGTTGATTTTGTTTCAGTTGCCGCTGTTGTCGTTCGTGTTGCTGCCGTTGTTGCGGGTGATAAAGCGCCTTAATCGTGCTTGCCAAGCACTTAACACGTAAACTGAAATGGCGGGAGTGAGACAGACTGTCAGTTGAATAGCAAAAGCAAAAACCATGGGCAAAAAAAAAAATCAAAAACAACAACAACCAACTGGCAACAGAGAAAAAATAAAAAATTTATTTGATTTGGCCAACAGTCTCTGTCACCAGCATAGATCATAACGTGGTCAAAAGTAGCTAAAAATAAAATGGCCAAATAAATTTAAAGTGCGCCTAATATGATTTAGCCACAAAGTAGAATCGCGCTCTCACTATAGCTTAAAGTCAATTTTTTAATTATATCAAAGCAAGTGTTTTAAAAGTTTGTAGTGCAGTGTAACAGCTACTTGTTTAATGCGAAATGACAGCTAATATGTGAACTTTTGCAGCGCACTTCAATGCAATTGTTTTAATTGATTGAGATGGAATATAATAATAAATAACTGTTGTAATCTAAGCTTGCAGCACAGTGTAGCAGCACACTTGTCTGAGCTAAGCAGCAGTTAAGTTGCAATTATCAATATATAATCAATATATATCAATTGCTCTGAAAGCTAATGTAATACAAAATTATATCTTAAAAGCAGTTAAGTTGTAAGTTTTTAGTGCAGTGAAGCAGCACAATAAGTATTGTGAAAAATGACATCTAAAATGATTCGCCAATAGCTCTTTTAGCTGCTGTCACAGCTGACTATAAAAAGTGTAAATTATAAGCTATTGCAGCTCAGAGTTTATAGTGCAGTGTATTCGCAACATATTTAACTGCGCCACAGACTGTTTCGCTTTTCATCTGTCAATCAGCTGGACTGACCCCAGCTGATTGCTGCCTTATCGCAGCCTCTATTTATTAATACCCATTTCGCATTATCTGCGCTTTAATTCATTTCAAAATGTTGATCGGAGCACAACAAATTCTGCTGCTGCTGCTGCTTTGTCTGCTGCAATTGCTGATGCCTGCTACTGGCGGTCGACTGCCTCCCTCGGTGGATCGGAATGGACGTCGTGTGTACTACGAGCCGGAGTCTCGCTCGGCGCTGAGAACGCCACTATTCCGGAGCTAAAACATGGGAGTGTGTCATATGATCTGTATCTATGTATGCCTAGACAATAAAGCCAGGTGTGCAGACCTTTGCATAAGCCTATTCATTTAATATACACAGCGTGATGCGGGTCGAAGGTTTAATAAACGTAAGATTGCAATTGCACTGCTGTTGATAGAATTCCATGAAGACGCGTATGAATGTGTGTGTTTACATGTATAAAGAAATTCTTGCAATTTGCGCCAGCTTCCCCAACCACGTGGGCAGCTAAAACACATTTTCTTAAATAACTTTTTTGTTTCTTAAACGATCTTGATGAAATTTCCAACATTAGATCTTATTGTACTATAGAATATTTGTATACTCTAAAAAAGTCAATTGCATTTAAACTGTGGCTTAAATTAGTGGGCAGTATAAATTGGTTTATTTACTTGATTTATAGCAATGAGGAAGTAGCGGGTAAAATGAAAGATACTTGATATGTATATACTATTCTAGAAGGTACATTGCAAGTTTGGTGACTCTAGCTCTTATCATTTACCAAATTTGCTCAAAAACAGGATTTCGCTATCGATTTTTATCGATTACTTGGAAACGGGGCAAGTTATCGAATATTGGAAACAAACTCGTACTGCGCGGGCACTAGGAGAACCTATGTTCAAATCAAGTCTCTAGGTCTTATAGGTTCTGAGATCCTTGCGTTCATACATACGGATGGACGGACGGACAGACAGACGGACATGGCTAGATCGACTCGGCTGTTTATGCTGATCAAGAATATAAATACTCTATGGGGTCGGATACGCTTCCTTCTACATTATACGCTTTTAACCCATTTTTAATGGCTTCAGGGTATAATGACAGCAATAATGATTCGACCATAACTCTCAAGCTGCAGCTCTCTCTCACCTGACTATAAAAGTGTAAATTATAAGCTATTGCAACTCAGAGTTTGTAGTGCAGTGTAACAGCAACATATTTGACTGCGTCACAGACTGTCTGTTCGCTTTCTGTCTGTCTATCTCCTGGACTGACCCCACCTTATCGCAGCAGTTCTTCTGCTGCTGCTTTGTCTGCTGCAATTTTTGCTGCCTGCTACTGGCACGCCACTGAGACTTGGGCCGGAATGTCAGACCCTTGAGCCGCACCGGAAGAGTTGCAGGAAGATGAAATCGTGGATGAAGTCGAGGTACCCCAACTGAAACAGGGGAGTGTGTCATGTAACCTTTGTCTATGTATGCCTAGAACAATAAAGCCAGGTGTGCAGGCCTTTGCATAAGTGTAAACATTTAATATACACAGAGTGCTTCTCTATCTGTGTGGGTATATGTAGGTGTGTGTCTGTGTGTGTGGCGGCACCACTTGCCCTTTTGTGTGCATGAGAATGCAACACATTAGGTGACCTTTGTCTGTGTCAAGGTGCACTGCCAGCAGCCGCCCAAGCAGCAATCTAACAAACACTAAACAAACACTTGCTCTCATTAGTGTCTGTGTGTTTGTGGGTGCCTGTGTGTGTTTGTGTGTGTAACACACACATTTACAAATGTGTGCGGTTGCAGGCAGCAAAAGATACACACAGACATAGCAAACTACTGCTGGCTCACTGCGAGGGCTGCTTATTAATTTTCTGCTTTTAATTAAATGTCGAAATAATCTTATAATCTTGTGGAAAATGTGTTGAGCACCAATTGATTAAAAATCTATTTATAAAACTATTTGTCCTTACTGGCTGATTGATAATTAACACACAGCCCAAGCCGTAAGAGCTAGAAAGCTGAAATTTTCACTGTAGGTACCTTATTAAGACGGGGTTTCAAGAAATTCCACCCGCATGCGTGGAAATATCGCGAAAAACGATTGTATAGAACTTTTTTGTTTACCATACGATCGTCCTCAAAATCATTTTCAAAGATCTTTGTTTAAATTCATTTGAGGGATGTTTCGCACCTTTTGGAAAATCCATCCCTCCTTGGTGGAAATGAGGGTCAAAGATTTGGTGGGTTCCATTTCGTGTTCAAATTTATTTCCAAAGATCTATTCGAAAAATCATTTGAGATGTGTTTCAAATTTTTCGAGAAATTAAAGTCTCCTTGGTGGAAAGTGCGACTCTGAGTTTTTGGTTAGTGAATTTTTAAATTGTGTCCGATTTGCTTCGAACTTATTTTCAAAGCTCTACTTAATGAATACGTCTTTCAGGTATTTGAGAATTTTCTTGTTCACCGTCCGATCGGTTTCAAACTCATTTTCAAAGATCTTTGACAGAATTTATTTGATACGTTCTTGGGCGGCAAATGCGGGTCAAAGGCTTATAAACGAAAGATTATTCTTCAGCTTCAAGATTCTCACCGCAAGTTATGGGCGGAAGCCGTTTATTTCAACACTTGGTTCTTTATTCGTTGCTGTTGAAACATATTTTTAAATAGAAGTGGGGATCAAGTTGGGTAGATTTCAATTTTCTAAAATTTTTACCAAAAAAACGCTTCACGTGCAAGGCCGGGCAATACCCGCTAGTTATTAACACATCAATTGCTGTGAAAGCTAATAAAATAAAAAATGATATTTTAAAATCAGTTAAGTTATAAGTTTGTAGTGCAGAGCAGCAGCACAATGAGCTAAGTTAAAAATGACAGCTAAAATGATTCGCCAATAACTCTCAAGCTGAAGCTCTGTCACAGCTGACTATAAAAAGTGTAAATTATAAGCTATTGCAGCTCAGAGTTTGTAGTGCAGTGTATCAGCAAAATATTCAACTGCGCCACAGACTGTTTCGCTTTTCATCTGTCAATCAGAAGGACTGACCCCAGCTGATAGTTGCCTTGTTGCAGCCTCTATTTAAACCCATTTCGCATTCGCGCTTTAATTCATTTCAAAATGTTGTTCGGAGCACAACAAGTTCTGCTGCTGCTGCTGCTTTGTCTGCTGCAATTTCTGCTGCCTGCTACTGGAGGAAATCTGGGACCCCCGGGGGGACGTCGCAAAGTTTTTAAGCTACCATCAACTGAAGAATGCGAACTTTTCATGTAACCTTTGAATATGTATGCCTTGAACAGTAAAGCCAGCTGTGCACAGACCTTTGCATAACTGTAATCACGTTCATCATTTAATTAAATGTCGAATTTTTACAAAATTATTTTCATAAATATTGTGGAAAATGTGTTGAATTTAAAACAGTTTATTTCTAATGATGTCTAAGTGACCCACAAAGATGAGTTCGGTTCAAATTACCGGCTAGTCTGGATGTATTATTGGCTTAGCTTAGCCTAATTGTTACATAAAGAAATATTGCTTGGGGATTTCGAAATTATGAAAATAAGTTATCATAGACATAGGCAGACATAAGTGCTGCAATTTATGTGGCAGCCCTCGTCCCGGCTATCAAATGGGTTGCGAGTTCTGCCTTATATATGTATATATATAGATGTATGTGTCTGTTGGGTTTGCATAGACAGGCCAAAATGTTAATGCCGCTAAACGACAAGGGAAATGGAGGCCAGCAAGCAGCAGCAGTAGAAATAGCAGCAATAGCAGGGCGATGCGCCCAAGCAGCTCATGTGTGAGAAATATTTTCATAGTCAAGGTAATCGCCTCCGGTCCCCAGCTAACCAAAGCCACGCCCTCAATTCACATATGCAACGCCTTGGTCCGGTCCCATTCCCGTCCCCGTCCCCATCCC